CCCTCCCACCCTCCCCTGCCCCAGACCTGCGCTGGGGCCCAGCATTCTGGGTTTCCCATGGAGGTTTAATCCTCAGAGATTCTGACGCATGTTCAAGTCTGAGGACCACTGAGTTCCTTTAAAAGCCACAGCAAAAAAATCTCTAGCCTGAAACATTTGTTTATTTGTTCCATATTGATTGCCTTTCCCATGTGCAAGACTTCTCCTAGTTGCTGTCAGAGCTGAGGACCACACTTATCCTGTCAGCTAGGAGTTCTCTGGGCCTGTGTGCAAATCCAGCGCCTTGCAGAGCACTGTGCCACTGTTAGCAGGACAGTGGGAAAAAAGCAGAGTAAAGATTACTCACTATTCTCTGGCTATCCTCTGGCATCCAGTCCATGGTCAATTGCAACACTGGTGACATTTTGGGCTGGATGATCCTTTGTTGTTGTGGGGACTGCCCTGCGTACTGTAGGGTGTTGAGGAGCATCCCTGGCTTCCACTCACCAGATGCCAGCAGCACCCTCTCCCCCTGAGTTGTGACACCCAAACTCTCTGGAGAACAAAATCACCTGGGTTGAAAAGTGCTGGATTAAACTGGAGTCCAGTTTAATTGGTTCTGGAGTCTATAGAGGCCTAAGCTATATTCGGGCGATCAATGTCTCCATAACCCGGACCCCACACCTCCTGCCCCCAGGCCCTAAAGGAATGAACTGGGCAGACAACCCTAGGTGCCAGGCTACCCTGACTGAGCCAACCTTTTCCTCCCACCAAGTTTCTGAGGCCGTGCAATTTGGGGTGCGCCTCTGAGCCCAAAGCATGGCCCTCAGGGCACTGCACCTCTATCAGCATCAAGACCCTTCGTCTTTGTGGTGCTGCCTGCATGGCCGGCATAACACAAAGCAAAGGGATATTGCTGTGGCAGAGACGGTGCCAGGGTGCCGCCACGTCCCAGCGCCCTGATGGTGTTTGTGTTGAAAGCATGAACTTGTTTTAAACACACTGACAATTTAGGGAACAAGCTGAGCAGAATGCAAACTTCACATCTGCTTCTGGGGATTTCATCCATGAGAGACTGCAGGTGAGAGCAGCAAGCTGCACCCAGCTGCGTCTGGGGACAGGGATACCCCAAATGTTCATGTCCAGGAGCCAACCTTGGAGCTTTCCCAAGGTGAAGTAACGTATTTATTGTCATAGTGATATATTTCTTAACCATTTAACATGTCCAAAATGGTACTACCATTTTTATTACCTTCCCATCTTTTTCTTTAATGTGTCACTGATGAAGTTTTTGAGGACTGTGCCCCTAACCCTATTTTTCTCACGAGCCCTGTGGCTTTCATTGCTCATTTGTGCAGATGATCAGTGCCGTGACTTTGAGGAGTGTATATGTCACATTACAGCAGAACTGGCTGTATCTTCTCCCTGAGCCCGGTGTCAGCTGGGCAGTAGAAAAGCAGCCCTAAGTCCCCTCCTTTAGCTCCTCCCCTTTGTAGTTCAGCCTGCAGCCTCGGGCCAGGCAGCAGCCTCTGCCACCTTCCGGGCTGCACTGGCCCCTGCGCTGGGTTCCCACCGCTCCCGGCACCTTCTCCTCAAAGCGCGCCCCACGCTTACTGCCGTCCTCCACAGGCGCTGGTCCCTGAGCCCCGAGGGCTGAGGCTGAGGCGGCGCCCGGCCGCGGCACTCACCCGCTGCGCGTCACCAGGCACTGGCGGAGGCCCAGCTTGCGGAAGATGTCCACCACCGTCTCCATGGGGGTGTGGTCCGTGACCGTGAAGGGGCTGAGGTTCAGCACGCGGCGCAGCTTCAGGGGCTGCGGGCTGCTGGCCGGCAGCTCGGGGGGCTCCTCCGTGAAGTACATGATGGAGTTGCTCACGATGCCCTCCTGCCGCTGCCTGGCGTTCTCTGGAAGGGGCAGGCGGGAGCATGAGCCACACCCAAACCCGCCGGGCAGCTCCCGACCCAGGCCCCGGGAACACGCACCTTCCCCCTCCTGCATCCTAGAATCCCACAGAAAAGGGGCTCGGGGGGCAAACTCCATGTTCCTTTTTTTTAAATCCTCACCTGAGTGAGGATATTTTTTCCTTTTTTTTCTTTTTGAGACAGAGTGGGGGAGAGGGGAGGAGAGAGACAGACAGAGAGAGAGACATCCATTGCTTGCCTCCTGCACGTGCCCAGACCAGGCCCAGGTATCCAACCTGTAACCCAGGTATGTGCCCTTAACCAGGAATCGAACCCACGGTCCTCCAGTGTGCAAGCTGATACTCTAACCACTGGGCCACACCAACCAGGGCCAAACTCCACATTCTTAATGATGGGCTTCAGCCAAACATCTGTGAAATCAGTCATACTGGGCAAGGGTCCGCCTGCTGTGACCCAACTATTCATTGCCAAAGTCCTGAAAGATGGGCCTGAGCAGGATGGCTCCTTTGGGGGACACATTGCTTCCCTGGGCTCCAGGGCATCCAGAAGGCCCAGAGCCCCCCACCCTTGCCTTTCTGATGCTTCTTCACCCGATCATGGGCTGAAGTTTGACATCACAAGAAACCTCACTTATCTGCCCCATGACCTTAATACATTGGTTTTTTACAAACTTACAGTTGGCCCAAATGACATTGTGAGTCCTGAAAGAAATAGAAAATTAATAGGATCATCCCAGGCTCAAAGCCCAGAAATGCAGCTCAATCCCAAATATGATCCTTGGGACCAAGGAAATACCCCTAGAAAAGCTGCATCTCTCACCCCTTGGATCTCCTCTCTTAAAAATGGGCCATTGTGAGGATATCTCAAAGAGAGATAGTAAAATTGTATGGTAACAATTAGCCTAGTTCTATCTATAGGCAAGGCCATGTGAAAGAGAGCTGAAGTGGGGTAACAGGAACTCATTAGAATACAGCATTATGCAGTGCTAGAAAGCCAGGCTATTTTAAGTCACACATGAAACAAATCCATCGGTCTCAAGATATTTCTCCAAGGCAATTTTCCTTCTGTTGGAATTTTAATCTTTCTTTTGGTTCATGGGAAAGGGTTAGCAAAAATGTATGGCAAGGCTTTGCCTTAAAACAAATTCTGGTTTCTATAATACAGTTTTCGCTTTCTCAAAGACTACTATTCACCTATATTGTTCTTTGAGAACTAAAACTCAAACTGCCTGCGCTAAGGCCGTTTACTGCAGGAGAGACTCCAGTGGAAAACTGGAGGCATTCAGGTCAGGCTGAGTTTGCAAAAGGGTCTCTGTTTAAAAGAGGAATGGAGGGCCTGGTGGGAAGATACTTGCACATTATTTGGGTCAGGCTAAATGTAGTTACATCAAATGGGATATGATTCAACCACAGATGCCGGATGACACTGAGGCACAACATGTTTCCAAACGGAGATGCTACACAATGCACACTGAGCACTTGTCCTCTAAATCAAGATGGTTCCATCCTGGAGCACTAAGGCAGAGGCAACAGTCAACACATACTATTTGCTCATTTTCATGCACCATTTGAGTCTCAAAGTCCCACATGGCAGGAATCCCATCTTTCAATAATCTGGTTCCACGTTAGGAATGGATCAAGCCACACACCTCAATCAAGAACTGATCACATGGATTTGCTGAACCCCTTATAAAAACCAAATGCAACTTAGGAAACTGTCAGTCGGCTTCTTGAAATAAACAAGCTGACATTTCCTCTGCAATCTACCAACTGGGTTAGAAGCCCTGATTCTAACGGCAGCTAGCTCAATGGATTCTTGCTCCCCAGTGCATTCCCAGTGCCTGGACAATGTCTAGTATACAGCAGACACAAAACAGATATTTGCCAAATGTGTGCATGAACCAATCAATCCAGGAGTGAATGAGGAGTGAGTGAGCCTACTAAATGTTGGTGGACTTGTCTTTGTCTGCCATGTAGAACAGAGCCTGTTGCACGCAGGAGGCATTAGGAATGAAAGCCCATGAGCTAGCCACTGCCAAGCAAGGAATCGAAGGCAGCAGGTGGGGTCAGAGCCAGAGGTCTGAGCTGTGCTCGTTGCTACTCCAAGAGTGGCAGCTGCTGCTCTCCCCAGAGGAGCTTTGCTAGGAACTCTATCAGAAAGACTTATCTTAAAGCTTTGAGCTCGGGGAGTGGGGGCGCTATGCACAGGCTGAAAGCTGGTGAATGGAAGAAGAACCAGCAAGAAAGCTCTGCGCATCTCTCCACTAGAGTGAACCATCTACTCTCAGTTTGGACAAGAAATTTTCATCGGTCACCAAAATGCCTGCAACAAACTTTAGCATGTAAGCTCACAGAGGACAGAGACTGGCTGCTGTCACCCTGTGCTCCAGGTCCTAGGAGTATGGGGGCACATGTGGATACGTAAGAATATTTTCTATGTGGAAGGATTCACTGACTCCTCCCCCAGGGGATGACCCAATGCTATAAGAGAAGAAACTCCCACACCCCACGGATTCATGGGAGCCTTTGTTAGAAAAGAACTCCTCTCCAAAAAAAACCAATGTTTACATGTGTAAAAGACAAGAAGGAAATACACCTAATATTAACCATGACTTTCTATGGGGTTGAGAAGGGGGGGGCTTTTTCTGTCTACTCTTTTCCTTCTGACTTCCCCAATATTATATAAGTACGTATTACTTTCACTTTAAAAATGTAGTAAACTTCATTTTTAATTGTTTTAAAGATCAGACAGTTAAACTGTTTTTAATAAGGAGGTTTATTGTACATTCTGCCAGAACTAGTATTAATGGCCACAGCTTCTGGAAAATGCTGTACATTTTAGGAGCACCTGCTAAGGTCATTCAACTTGACGTTCCACTTCCTCACAGCAATACGATCAGAATGCCAGGTGCAGAGCAGATAATTAAGAAAGTGTTGGTAAAGTGAATTTTGCAAACTATGATAGGCCAAGAAATTCTAAAAGACTAGAAATACTCACATAGCCAGTAAGCTGTTACAATGGCTTTAGAACAATGGTTCTTGACTGGGAGCAATTTTGCCCTACCCTCAGGGGACATTTAGCAATATCTGGAGACACCTTTGGTTGTCATAACTGGGGGATGGGGTTCCTACTGGTATCTACTGGGTAGAAAGCAAGGATGTTGCCTAACACCCTACAGTGCACAGGACAGCCCCTCTCTATAACAAATGAGCCAGCCTGAAAAATCACCAGTATTAAGGTTGAGAAACTCTACTTTGGAGTAATTATGTTTTTAGGGCTGTAATACTTTATCATTCTCCTCATTAAAAATGCTTCCATAGCCCTGGCCAGTTTGTTCAGTGGTTAGTGTTGGCCTGCGGACCAAATGGTCCCAGTCAAGGGCAAGTACCTGGGTTGCAGGTTTGATGCCCAGCCCTAGTCAGGGCAAGTGCAGGAGGCAACCAATCGACGGGTCTCTCTCACATCTCTTTCCCCCACCCTTTCTTCCACTCTCTCTGAAAATCAATGGGAAAAACATCCTCGAGTGAGGGTTAACAAAAAAAAATTTTAAATGCTTCATAAAAACAAATGTAATTAACAAGAAAGGTTAAAATGGAAAATTAGAAGCAACTATAGTGGTGGTCAGTAAAAAGATGTGATAACAAAGTAAAAACTATTTAGAAGAAAAAGCAGATTATTTTATGGTGTCATAGTTTACAAAGGCATGGAGAAGTCCCTCTTATATGTTTTTATCCCCAGCAGGAAAAGCAGACTGTTCTCCCAGGAAGAAACCTTTGTCCCTAAACAGCCCATCCAACAGATCTAACACTTATCTTCTTATTCGGCCCTGGTAAGCATCTCCCACATGCTGGAGAACCGTCATTAAATCATCCACCAGACAAAAGAATCAGAGTTCCCTTAACTCTTGCCCATAACTCTAACTTTCCATCCCTTTAATCATCTTTGTGGCTTCCCACTGAGTCCTCTCTCAACCATCCTCACTTAATTGCAGAATTCAAGACTGGGAGAGCCCGAGCCCTGCTGAGCATGGAAAGAGCTTCATATTTGCAAATGGCACCAAGGAGTAAAGTCCCATTTCCTGGAAATTTGAACTGGGGCCACGCAAGGCCCACTGCTGGTGTGTGACGGTGAAGAGGGCAGCACTTCCTAGGTGGTGCCCAAGAATTGCTCTCTAACAAAGGCGACAGCAGTGGTTTCGTGTTGCAGAGGGACTGAAAACAACAACACATTTTCAAGCGTCACCTGAGCAGCTGCTACAATTCTTAACATGAGCTGTAAGAAAAATCCTTATTTGCCTTATTTACCATTCTTTTCTTATCCAAACTATCTTGGATCTATCTATCATCTTGGCTCCTAATTCCCCTGAAAGTGTAATTGGCATGAAATCATTACTAGCTAAATGCTGTTGTCATATTTCCATATTCACAAAAGGGCATATAGTTCTGCAAATATAGCTCACAAATTTCTCCACCAGAATCCAGGACTCTTCTATTTCCACATATCAGGAAAACAGCTTTTCTGATTGCTCAGAACAAAACACTCTTTGCCTTTTCACAAACCATGTAAATAGCAGCCTCTACACCGTGCTCGGTGTGATTAAAAGCATATAGGTATTATTTACGCCGAGTGTTGCCTCTTCAGACATTCCAAACATAGCTTCCAGAGGAGCACACGGTTGCCAAGCTTAGACTTCTCCTCTAACCAGTTGATGACAATCGCTGCTTCCCACTTGATTACAGTAATGGGTTTCAGCAAAATTAGTAAACTGTCTTTTAGCAGGTGTGCCCAGAGCTACACAACAGGTAATGGATTCTGTGACATTTAGTACTTTCATTTTTTAATTTCGACCTTTGCTTAAAAGATTTTAGGGATTGAATATTTCCTAAAGACTGCTGATTACATTATTTTAATACAAACCCAATCCTACTTATACAGCTTTTTTTTAAAATCTTTTTTTATAAGGCAATATTTATGCCTAAAGGCACCTATCTGCTGAGTGGCAGGACTATAATAAAGAGAAACATCGCTGAAAACTTGGCACAGATGTGCCAGTGTCCAAAATATAAAATCAGCTGTTGCTTTTGGAAGGTAAATATGTTTGAGCAACAAACATTAGAGGATATAGCTTATCTCAAGTTATTTTTATAAAGCCTTTGATGAAGATCCATTTAAAGATATTTTCAAAGCTATTTAACATGGCAAAGAGCTTTGGGAATTCAAAGGGAGAGCTAAGAGATAGTTAACAAAGGGCAGGGAGAGGCAAAGGGTTGTCCGTGAAGGTGCATTCCCAGTGGGGAGTTCGGCCACCATACCCAGGCGAGTTCCACTGGCAAACTTCATGAGCACTCTGAAAGATGGCATATACAGTAAAATCGCACACCTGAGCTGCATCCTGGGCCCCAGCTGACGGCAAGGTGCTGGGATGGTGTGCAGCTGCTCCCAGCCGCGCCGCGACGGGAGGTCCACCGAGGCTCCGCCAGAGGAGCCGGAGGCTCACCGCTCCCCCTGACCAAGACCCCCAGCCGTTCACACGCAGGCCTTGCTCTTTGGAATCCTCATCCTGCTCCCCTTCCAATGCGGCCATCGCTAGGCTGATGGGGCCCGCAGGCTTGCTCCTCTGAGCTGCCTGTCTTTGGGACACCTCACCCGGGCATCGTCCCCTCTCTCCTCCGCCAACTCGACAGGCTACCCCTCAGCGCAGCTGATTTCAGTTAGCGCTCAAGGAGGGAAAGCATCGCACGGAACGGCCATGATTTCTGCTCGTTAGCCCACGTGGGCCTTGAACTGGCGGGATGGGACATAATGTCATAAAGTGAAGTGAAAGGCTTGTGTGGAGCCGAGAGGCATCTGAGGCAAAGAACTCACCATCTCAGTAGTTCACGTGCCTGAGAGTGTCTCTCTGAAAGCAGCTCCCCCCGGGCCAGGCCAAGCTTTCCCATCCCTTCCTTCTCAGCTTTGCCCAACAGTGAGTTCCCTAAAAGGCAGCAGCTGCTTGCCTCCTAGCAGGACTGGGGTCCAGGTAGCTTCTTGCAAATGTGGTGCTCATCTTCCAGACAAGAATGCCCCTCGCAAGACCCTGCTCCTCACAGTGTGACGTGGGACCAGCAGCATAGCACTAACTGGGAGCTTGGGAGAAATGCAGAGCCTCAGGCCCCACCCCAGACCAGCTGAATCAGAAGCCGCACCTCAACCAGACCCCCAGGTGACACGAATGCACATTCAAGTGTGAGATCCCCTGGCTTAAAGCCCTCCTACCTTTGTACATTCTCTTGACCCTCCTTGAGAATACGGGGGGTACAAAGGCTGCCATTTGCCTCTTAGTAGCTCATGAGTTTTCTCCTCTTTACTCACTTATTGCAAGAATCAGTTCCCTCCTCTGGGCAAATCCGATGAGGCGCTCAGAGTCCCTGGAGACCACTACAGGGAAGCCGTTGAAATCAGTCTCTTTGATGAGCGTCTCCACGTCCTCCACAGTCATGCTGTCCTGGGTGAGCACGGACAGCGGCGGCTCTCCCCGCCGAGGCCGCATCACGTCGGTGGCCAGTGTGCGGTGAGTGAACTCATCCTTCACATCCAGAAACGGGTACCCATTTAAGTGGATGTGGGCCTCGTAGATGCCTTCTTTCCCGAAGGCATCAGCCACCCACTTGCTGGTCACAGCTGCCGCCATCAGGGGTACAATGTATTCCAGACCACCCGTTAATTCAAACATGATGACCACCAATGACACCGTCATCCTGGTCACTCCACCTGCAAGTTAAGAGAGGAGTGAAATTCCACAACTCAACCCCAGACCCTCAGGAGGGCATGAATCGTGGAAACTGACAAGCTGGCTGTAAATTCTCCTTAAGGCACATCCCAGGCTCCTGGCACTAGGAACACCAGACAGCACCTCAGCGTTACACCTGGTTGTCATTTTAAACAGCAAAATCATTAACAAAAAGCACAAAAATGCAAAACACATGGCACTAAATAGACCACAAGGAGGACATCTGTGTCCAGGTGGAGAACTGAATCCAAAAGGTAGACCTTCACCTTAGTCAATTCAGCTGGGGACCTACGTGCATGTCGGATAACTACAATCTTCCACTGCTCTGCAAGTGTCCAAGAGTGACTGTGAAGGCCCCACAAGCATTGATTTAGGGGGTACAAACAAACTTTAGCACGTAGACAAATGCCCAATTATGGATTCCACGAATGAGGATCGACTGCCATCAAAGACCAGACAGAAGCCTTGGTATGTTAAGCTACTGAGACTGAGGGGTTTACTCATCACAGCAGCACAACTTCTCCTATCCTGAGCATGCAAGTGCTCACGTCTTCCTCTGGCCAGTCCTCTAACCCCGATCAGCCTTTATGCTAGTCTGTCTCACCTTTCCCTGCACCTCCCACCCTGCCTCACCCACCCCTGGCTGTACCTAGGCAGGCTGCTGCTCCCACCATTGCGTAAAGTCCCGGGGTGACACAGTCCGCTCCGGGCCTGCACCAGTTCCTGAAGATGATCCAGTCATGGTGATGGTAAGCCAGCTGCTCCACGCCGATTCCCACCATCCTGCCCGCCATGGCTCCCACAGCCATGCTGGGGATGAAGAGGCCCGATGGGATCTCCAGGGAAGACACATGGGGAAAGAAGCATGAGAGAAGTCCCAATTCCAGCCTCCCCACCCCCAGTACACACCGTCCCACCTCAAAGAGCTTGCATTTTGCTTCAGTCCTTAAAAGGAGATGTAACACTTTGTAGTGGGTCAGCTGGGAAAGGTGGGACAAGTGACTGCACCTGCCTAGTCAGAGAATGCAATTTTCCACTTTCATTTCCCAGCCTTCAACAGCTGGCCCAGTTTGCCTGCTGTGGATTAAAGAATGATAAGCCCCACTGCAAATAGCATTCAAAGCAAGCATCTGTCATTTCAGATACTCACCGCTGTCTTGTTCCCCTTGCATGTCCCTCAGATTAGCTTTTAAAATTAAATGTCAAGCCATAGCAGGAAAATGGAAAAAAAGAGCCTGTGGCCGTTCTCAGGTGGAATAAAGAAGCTGACAGTGGCAGAGCAGCCACCCTGGATCTTCCAAAAAGCTTTCCTCAGCTAACTGCCCTCTCAAATATACAGTGGCCAAACACCCACTGGGAAGGGGGCACTGCCCTCTTCCCAACAAAGTCCATTTTCTGAAAAGTATTCTGAATATTTTCAAGCCAGGTTAGAAGCAGCACAGAAATAGACTATGTGAACTAAAAGATCTTGGTAATAGCATGCTTTCTGTTTTGCTGTGTGAAAACACATTTTATCTAGTGATCAAACACGTGCTATAAAACACGCCTGACTCTCCATGTCCGTGGAGATTGCACGTGGCTATGATACTGAGTGGGAGCCACATCTATGCCCAGCCCAGAGTGTCATCAATCTCAAAATGGAAGTGGATCTTTAACCAAATTCCAGGTAAGTTTAGATCCTTGAGTGTGATTTCTAGAGTTTAGGACATTCCTGAGGAAATTGTTCCTTTCTGAGCTGCCCCTTATCCCTCGGCCACTTAATCCCCCAGAACTTCAAAATGGACCTTTCCCAGCAGGCACCGGAAGATGAAGCTAGTGTCTTCTCAGACACAAAAATAAAAATCCCTTTTCTAGGAGAGAATGCATCAGAAACAGTAGCTGTTTAATAAAGTCCTCCATCCTTGTTGTCAGGGCAAAAATTCGTTTGTGCCTGACCATTACACACTAAAGTGTAAACTCTCTACATGGTTTCTTAGACTTAAAAAAAAATCATAAGAATAGCACACAGAAAGCAATAGTAATGGGAAACAACGGGGCTTCTGGAGGATTCTCAGTGTTCCACTTCTGATCCTGGTGCTGATTACACAGGCATGTGTTTCGTGAAAGTTCACCAAGCTGCATACATCCCTGTGTGAATGATGTGCTCTGAGCCTTGGCTTTTCACTTGTAAAATGGGATTAAAATCTAACTCATAGGCTTGTTATTTATCAAAATTATAGGTTCTTGTTGATTAAAATAATGTCAAGGGCCCAGCACAAGACAACATTCAGTAAACATCAATCCCCCTTTCTTCCCGTCAAAATTTCATTTTGGCCATTAGGGTGCTTTCCCAAGAAGGACGTGGGTGGCCCACACATCTTCCTTCCCCTTCACTTACCTTCATGCCAAAGGTAAATATGGTGATGACGATTTTGAAGATCAGGGCCAGGGCCAGCTGCCACATGGCCGTGTACACCCCGTGCCCGGCCGGCCTGTCGGGAATGTCATCCACAGGCCGGGTCATGTTGGGGTCGTTGATGTAGTCACAGAGCTGGGAGGACTCGAGGGCCCCGCAGTCATTGAACAGCTCGGAGATGAGCTCGCTCGTGCTCTGGCGTGTGTAGGGGTTGGGGTAGGCGATGATGGCGGTGATGGCGGTCACCACAATGACCTCTAGCACTGGGTACTTCCCCAGCTTGGTGGTTTTGCGCCTCCTGCACCAGGCGATGTTGCAGCGGATAAAGAGGGTTCCCCACAAGCCCCCGAAGACCCCCAGCAGGATGAAGGGAAAGAGCTCGGCCATGTACCAAGGCGTGTGATATTCCACGTAAAAGAGAACAAGGCGGCTGTTCCCAAAGGGATTGATGGATCGCAGCGTGAAGGCTGCCACCAGGGCCGCGAAAAAGGACCGCCACAGAGTCTTCAAGGGAAAGTAGTAACTGACCTGGACGGACAAGTAGAAAATTAGAGACTGGCCAAAGACAGGCGGTACTCACTTCCTCGACCTAGGTTTAATTATGACCCAAATGCGCCAACAAAGATATTTAGAGGACTCTATGTCTAAAAGTGGAATGGATACTAGTCAAGGTTTTTTTTTAACTATTTTTAAGAGAAATGAAAATATTTATCATAATTCTGCTTATGGCACAGAGACCCTCCTAAAAGCAAATAAGCCTTTGACTTTGATTCTACAGACAACAGAATAGATCAAGGGTTGGAAAGCCCTGGCCTAACAAACGTATCTGAATGGTGCATGAGCTAAGAAACAATTTTAGATTTGTAAATGGTTGGGGAGGAATATTTTGTGACGTGAAATATTCAAAAGAAAATCACTATTTTGTGACACATGAAAATTCTATAAAACTCAAACTTCAGCATTCATAAGGAGAGCTGTGTTGGGACACAGTCATGCGAGATCACATGCACATTGTCAGCGGCTTTCCCACTACACACAGGGCTGAGTGGCTGTGACCAAGACCCGGAGACCCACAAAGCCTAAAATAGTTACTATCTGGCCCTTCACAGAAAATGTTTGCTGACCTCCAGAATAGATCTATTCGGGTTGCCAAAAACAAAAATATGCTTAATTAATTTGGTTGTGAGAAAGAGAGGACACTGTAAATCTTTCAAAAAATTTATATTGGCAATTTTTCAAAACAGATACTTAGCAGCAAAAATCGTGGCTCCTTAATGAGCTGCAGGAATCATGTCACTGCTCCTTTGAGTCTGGTCCTCAGAGGGCCTTAGATGGAGGCCTAATGCTGAGCTAACCATCCCTGTATCCCTCAGCCAACACCCACATTCCCTGG